AATCCCTATAACATGCTATTAATATTTGGGGATTGCCTAATCAGGTCGGTGAACCATCAAATATGTTTCCTATCTGTATCAGGATCGCTGCCCAGATCTGTGACTGTCCCTGAGATTATATGTTAATATTTATGTTTGTAGTATAAATCACCTATCAAAAACGGAAAATGATCCTGGTTTGAAGAAAAAGTCGCAATGGACCTCACACCGAGGTTCCTGAGAGGAGTAGTCTTTCACCATTTTGTCCTTCATCAGGTCAGATGTTAATGAATATATATTATATCAATAGCTAGTGTTTATTGAGCTCTGCTGTCAAGTACTATGCTTGATTATCTCATTTAATCCTCAAAACAATCCTGTGAGGTAAGCACCATTATGACCCCCAATTCCAGACAGAGGCTCGGAAAAGTATGAAGCTGGGCTATGGTGACTCCCCTCGTAGGTGGTGGAGCTGTGACATAAACTCAGGTAGTCTGACTCCTGAGTACATGCTCTGATCCTCTATACTGATGACAAGCTGATTTCGTTATGATTTTTCTCTTGCTATAAAACTATCTAGGTCAGGGCGCCTGGGTAGCTCAGTCATTAAGCGTCTGCCTTCGGCTCGGGTCATGATCCCAGGGTCCTGGGATCGAGCCCCACATCGGGCTCCCTGCTCAGCAGGAAGCCTGCTTCTCCCTCTCCCACTCCCCCTGCTTGTGTTCCCTCTCTCGCTGTGTCTCTCTCTCTGTGTCAAATAAATAAAATAAAACTATCTAGGTCATAGTGCCCTCTTCTTCAGATCATTCCCTTATTCAGTAAATATTTACACTTGATCTTAGCCAAAAGGTCAAGAAACAACCACTTAGGGGTGCCTGGGTGAGTCAGTCATTAAGCATCTGCCTTCGGCTCAAGTCATGATCCTCACATATGCCAGGCAAGTCTAGTAGGGATTAGAAATAGATTGAAAAACAAAACAGACAAACTCGAAAAAAAACTTTTTTTTAAGCAGGAGAGAAAACAACATACAATTAAATAACAAATGAAATAAAATAATTAGATTAGGAATAATACTAGAAAGAAAATAAATAGGATATATGGGAAAAAATAAAAGGGAGGGGCACCTGGCTGGCTCAGTCAGAAGAGTACGCGATTCTTGATCTTGGGGTTGTGAGTTCAAGCCCTACGTTGGGGGTAGAGATTTCTTAGGAAAAAAAAAAGTTCAAAAATAAAAGGTGGGGGCACCTGGGTGGCTCAGTGGGTTAAGCATCTGCCTTCAACTGAGGTCATGATCCCAGGGTCTTGGGTTGGAGCCCCACATCGGGCTCCCTGCTCAGTGGTGAGCCTGCTTCTCCTTCTCTCTCTGCTGCTCCCCCTGCTTGTGCACTCTCTCTCTCTCTCCCTCTCTGTCTCAAATAAATAAAATCTTAAAAAAAAAAAAAAGGAAAGAATAAGAGGGAGAAACCAACTTTGGAGAGTATGCTTGGGGAAGGCTTCTCTGAGGAGGTGATATTTAAGCTTAGACCCGAAATAAAGGAGGCAGGGTGCAGGAGCTATGGGAGGAACATTCTAGTAGACTAGAGGAACAGTGTCTTCAACAGACGCAACTCCCTGCCTTTGATGTTTGACCTGTAAGCTCTCCAGGATACATGATTTCACTATCTTTATAGTCTAGCAGTGGGAGAGTCAACAGTTTCTCACCGGTTCATTTCAATGTTCTAATGTAGTTTAGATATTCTTTCTTATGTTCAACAGGAAAAAAATTAAAAATTGCTGATACTATTTCTGATCTTATTAACATCTTAGTGCATTTCCTTCAAATCAGTTTTTTAAGCTAGTATCTCTTATTTGCATTCCAGATACAAGGCTCTAGGCTACAAGTTTTGCGTGCATTATTATATTCTCTCTTCACACAACTCCAGGAGTAGGCAGTTGTTTTAAAATGAAAAAAAAAAACAAAAACAAAAACAAGCATAAGGAGGTTAAGTAACTTTTCCAGGCACATGAACTGGTCAGTGGCAGAGTGGGAACCTGAACCCTGAACTGCCTGATGGGAGTCTCCACTCTAACCACTGTGGCTTCTCCTTGGCATGAGTGCAGGTTATATGTATTTCTCCCCAAATTTATAGCCTGCTGATTTTGTCTTCTATTTTTCCATATCATTAAATATTGACTGTTTTTTTTCTTGATTACTTGTTTTCTGTCTCATGCTATATAGATTGAGCGTTCTTTCCTTTTACCTATTCCAGTGATTCAGAAGGTGTGCTTTCTGTGTTTAATTCCAGTAATGATCATCTTTAAACAAAGACCACCCACTGAGAACAAATAGAGGCTATTTATTCAGAGCTTGCTACAGCAAGGGAAACCTTCACCATGCCTTGGATTTTGTGTTTCACAGAGACTCAAGGCAGGCAGGGGAGTGGAGAGGCTTTGTGTGGCAAAAAGGAAGATTCGGGTATGCTCTGATTTGAGGTTGTTGCCACAGGGAGGCTGGAGGCTGGCCAACTAGAAGGGGGCCTCTTATGTGATTAGTTTGGGGAGTATATTTGACTTTCCCTGGCTGGTCCAAAGTTGGAGGAAGCTAACACAGTGAGGGCGTTGGCAATCATTAACGGAGTCTAGACCATTCTGGGCCAGTTGCTACAGAGGTTGTAGTTGGCTTCCTGGGCTGGCGGCTCCAGAGGTTTGGATCAAGTTTTGTGGTCATATCTTATCTGGCCATTGTCTGTTTCTCTCTCACTTAGCAGAAATATTGGAGTCTTTTGTTAATCATTCCAAATATGTTGCCTATGGGGCGCCTGGGTGGCTCAATGGTTGAGGGTCTGCCTTCGGCTCAGGTCATGATCCCAGATCCTGGGATCAAGCCCCGCATCAGGATCCCTGCTCGCGGGGAGGCCTGCTTCTCCCTCTCCCACTCTCCCTGCTTGTGTTCCTGCTCTTGCTATCTCTGTCAAATAAATAAAGTCTTTAAAAAAAAAAAAAAGAAAGAAAGAAATTTGCCTATGATAGAAATCCTATGACTTACCCAAAGTCACAAAAAATGAGAGTGTCACTCAGAATTTGAAGCTGGCCTATCCTCAAAGCCTGCGCTCTTAAATGAGTGCTATACTGAATCCCCCCACCCCCTCTCTTTCACACACACACACACACACACACAGCCCAACTACATGAGTATTTGAGGGGCTATATGAAAACATAACTAATGTTCAGAGATATTTTTTAATAAATAAAATGTGTTACTTCCATGCAAAAGAAGTGTCAAAGAGTTGCTTTCAAACCTATTGCTTACTCTAAATTTCAAAACATTTATCAGCATTTCTTAGGACATATACACAGAATTATTTTATGACACAAACAAATATTAGTCTCATTAACTAACAATCATAACTTGCTTTTGGTCGGAAAGTACTGAATGGCTCCATAAGACTTTTGGGTTATTGTAAAAGATAATTTTTTTCACTTGAATCAAAATTTCCCCTTATGTGAATATTCAAAAGAATCTGCTACAAAATCATATAAATTCCTTATGGTTCTGTAACTATAGTACAGGAATGTTCTTATGCAGCTATTAAAAAATTCTATTAATGAAGACCACATAGAAACATGGGAAATATCTATTATGTTAACATAAAAGATGGTGTGCATATTATACTGCAGTTATGTAAAAATATGCATCCACATAGACAAGAACAAAGACTGGAAAGTAATTTGCAAAAAGAAAAATAATTGCAAAATAATGTGGGATCTTTCAGATTTTTTCAAAATGTTCTCCAGTGTTTTACCATATTAAAGTAGCTAGTCTGTATGCTAGACAGCTTTATTAAGTGGACCAGTAGCCTGTGGACAGTAATTCACAAAGGAAATAAGAAGATCTCTGCCAGTTTTTTGAGAACCACTCCTTAACCACGGGGATAAGAGGTTTTCCTCTCCATAACAAAGGAGAATAATTTTCCTTTCCTGAGGCCGTTTTGAAAAGCTGTTATTTTTCCATTCAGAATGTACAATTATCATGTAAATATTCAAGTTCGCTTTCACAGGAGGAACATCAAACTCTTTTGATCAAAAAATGACAGCGATTTATTACCTGTGTTATCAAATGTAAACTCCCCAGCCAAGCATTAAAGACTTAAAATCTCTTCTTTCCCCAGGAATACTTCAGGAGAAAGTTTTCCCTGTTAAGACTTCTCTGTAATGGTTAATTCTTCCCTTGTTTGATATACCTCATCGTGATCCAACGCCGCAAATTTTACATATGGGATTAAAATAACTATAAATAAAGCTCCTCTATTCTGGTATTTTTGTCTCGCATCTTTATTTTTTAATAAAATATTACAGGATAAAATTCCGGTCTAAGATTTACGTGTCAGTGTACTCTCCATGTCTCCTACAACTTGACTTTTTTCATTCAACATTGTTTTTGTGATCTGTCTACATTGTACTGATAGATTTGTTCATTTATTTTAAGTTCCCCGCGGCATATTAATTGTGCTGTGATTGCAGTTTACTGGAAAACGAAGGAGCATATTCCAGAAAGATCTTGTTACTCCCCGTATGACAGGGAGGAAAACCTCTTGCCTGAAGAGCTTTCTGCCATCTTTGATTTGAAGGGTGGGGTGGAGTGGCTTTCAAGTGTGAGCACAGCTCTGAAGTAAAAAGCATCTGCTCAAGGCTAAGATAATGTGTGCTGACTGGGTGAGGGGACGAGGAGTGGTTTTAAAATACAGTTATGCTTAGAGCATATGCTCTTTAGGATGCCATTCCTCCCTCCCAGCAAGATCCTGTCACACTGGTGTTGATGGCTGTATTCTTCTGCTATGGAAGAAACAGAACTAGAGTAGACAAATGTCTCTTTGGCATTTGTCCGATACATAAAGACTTGGGTCTCAACATTCCCCTCTGGAGTTGGTGAACAGTTGTTGAACACCAACAGTGAAATAGGCACAGGAAATGCAGCTGCTTGCAATATCATTTCAGGATAAGCAGGAGCCTTGCTGAGTTTTTCTGTCTGTCTTTTATTAAAGGTCCACACACGTTCCTGTCGGGGAGGATCAAGTCCAGCACATGGAGCTCGTTCAGGATCTAGCACGAGAGTTTAACAAGAAGTATGGGGAGTTCTTCCCGGTGCCCAGGTCCATTCTAAGTAAGTAACAGACACATGACTGTTAGATCAGGCCCGGTTTCCAAGGCAGGATTGGATAATGGACTGAGGCTTGGAATTTCCTTGGGACAGACTTCAGGATTTGGAACTAGAATCACCATCTTTCTCTGTCCTGTGGGAATGGGCAGACCTCATTAGATTGTTGAATAGAATAGCCAAAAAAGTTTGAAAAGCATGGGAAAGACTAAAAATGAAAAATAATCAAATTCATTAAATTACATAATACATATATATATATATACACATACTTGGTAAATTATATAATACTTTATATTGGAAAGTATATGTGGGAAAGACTAAAAATGAAAAATAATCATTTTCATTATAAAGCACTATATAATTTACCAATTATATATATTTAATAAATTATATCATGTTATATTGAATAGATATTAACAAATTAATGTATTAACATTATTATATATTAATATAGTAACATATTTAATACTTTATAAGGAATTATATAGAATATATACATATATCCTTCCCTATTTTATGGATCAGGAAACTAAAGCTTGGCAAAGCTAATTTTGCATCCAAGTCATATATCGAGCTAGTGACAAAGCTCTTCTGATTCCAAAGCCGTGGATCCTGCCTTCCCTATTCACAAGAAAATAAAACCATAAGAAAGAGAACTGCTGAATCATCAGCTAGATAAAACTAGAGGGAATTGATCATTCTTACACTCTCCTTTCTTAAATGCACATTGATGGAATGTATAATCCCCCCACTGGATCTGAAACCTCACCAGCTGCTGTGAGGCTATGCTAGTTTGGAATCTTCTTGAGGAAAGAAGCTGTGCCTCTTTATCAACATTTTGGTAGTGATGTAGATTTGTGGCAGGGGCAGAGATCACTGAGCCCAAGCTCTGTCCATCTTTATTAAGCTGACAGCATTTTATAGAGTCTAACATGGACCCAGTATCAGTTCAGAAGCATAAGGCAGGTATAAATTTCTAAGCTATTCCAGTGGTTCACACAAACAAAAAACGGGCCTACCATGCATTGAAACCAAGCTTCCTTTAGCAATAAGTAATATTTTAATGTTTTTGCCTGTTATTAAATTTACCTATTTCAAATTGATATGTTTCTGCAATAGCCATAACATAGGCAATTATTAGTAACACTGGTTTATAAAGCCAGCTTAACATCTTGATTCTATCAGAGCAATAACCAAGTCACTCGTGTGTGTGTGTGTGTGTGTGTGTGTGTGTGTGTGTGTGTGTTGGTATATACTGATATTGATATAACTGTGGTAAAGAAATGAAAGGATTGCCATAGATTGTTAAAATGTATTGGGGGCAGGAAGGGCAGTGGTTATGGGCAGAGGGTGATTAACTAATAGGGATGAGCAGAGAGGAAAAGAGAGAAGGAGAGGAAAGAAATAGACCAGACTTTTTTAAAGGATATGCACAGCTAAAGCAGTATGATTGATACAATTTCATTTGTCTAAGATTATACATTTTATGTGTATATATACATTAAAAGATGCATGAAAATATGATCAAATGTTAACAGTTTTATTACATGTTTCAGGTGATCTTTATTTTCATGCTTATATAAATGGCTTGAATTTTTCACAATGGGTATTCGCTATTTTTATAATCAGACAAAAATAATAAGGTCATATGGTAAACAACAGGTGCAGGCAAGGATGAGGAGAAAAAGGAACTCTCGTGCACTGTTGGTGGGAATGTAAACTGGTGCAGCCACTGAGAAAAACGGGCTGGAGGGTCCTCAAAAAGTTAAAAATAGAACTACCCTATGATCCAGTAATTCCACTATTGGGTACTTACCCAAAGAAAATGAAAACACTGACTCAAAAATATATATGCGCCCCTATGTTTATTGCAGCATTATTTACAATAACCAAGAAATGGAAGCAACGTAAGTGTCCATCATTAGGTGATGGATAAGGGAGTTGTGTTATTTATACACATGCTCAGCCATATATGCTCAACCATAAAAGAGGATGAGATTGGGCGCCTGGGTGGCTCAGTTGGTTAAACGACTGCCTTCGGCTCAGGTCATGATCCTGGAGTCCCAGGATCGAGTCCCGCATCGGGCTCCCTGCTCAGCAGGGAGTCTGCTTCTCCCTCTGACCCTCCCCCCTCTCATGTGCTCTCTCTCTCTCTCTCTCTCATTCTCGTTCTCTCAAATAAATAAATAAATAAATAAATAAATAAATAAATAAATCTTAAAAAAAAAAGGATGAGATTGTGCCATTTGAGACAACATGGGTGGATCTAGACGGTATAATGCTAAGTGAGGTGAGTCAGACTGAGAAAGACAAATACCGTATCTCCTGCATAAGCGGAATCTTAAAAAAAAAAAAAAGAATAAACAAACAAAAAGCAGAATCAGACCTATAACTACAGAGAACAAACTGATGGTTGCCAGAGGGGAAGAGGGGGGATAGACAAGATGGGTGAAGGGGAGAGGAAAGTACAAGCTTCCACTTACAAATGAATAAGTCACAGGAATAAAAGGCACAGCATAAGGAATAGAGTCAGTTATGGTAATAGCGTCGTAGGTGACAGATGGTAGTGACACGTGTGGCGAACATAGCGTAATCTATAAATTGGTCAAATCACTGTGTTGTACACTGACATTGGGGTAACATGGTGTGTCAGCCCTACTCATTTATAATAATAATAATAATAATAAAGTCATTTGGTACCCTTGGCACTTTTTAAGATCTAGACACTGACATTCCTGGTGTGATGTTTTCTTGTTACTGTCTTCCGGTTTGGGTTTCGGTGTGCGGATGTTGGCGTTCCCTAGCATCCCTGAAGAAGGTGAAATCCCTCCGTGATCCTTCTGCCAAAATGTCCAAATCGGACCCTGATAAACTGGCCACGGTCAGGATAACAGACAGCCCGGAGGAGATCGTGCAGAAATTCCGCAAGGCTGTGACGGACTTCACGTCGGAGGTGACCTACGAGCCAGCGCGCCGCCCCGGGGTCTCCAACCTGGTGGCCATTCACGCGGCGGTGGCCGGCCTCCGCGTGGAGGAAGCGCTGCAGCTGAGCGCGGGCGTGGACACCGCTCGCTACAAGCTCCTGGTGGCCGATGCCGTGATTCAGAGGTTTGCTCCAATTAAGAGGGAGATTGAAAAACTGAAGACGGACAGGGGCCACTTAGAGAAGGTTCTCCAGGTGGGCTCAGCCAAAGCCAAAGAATTAGCCCGTCCCGTGTGCCAGGAGGTGAAGAAATTGGTGGGGTTTCTATAGGAAGCTTCCCTGCATGGCAGAAAACCTTTTATGTCTTGTGGCCTGTGCACTCCTATTAATAAAGGCAGCTTTCCTCACAAATGAAAAATGATGGGGACACCTAATTTTGGTACACATGATTATTGGCTTCATTCGTCAATAAGAATTTGTAACTTTCAGGAGCGCCTGGGTGGCTCAGTGGATTGAGCATCTGCCTTCTGCTCAGGTCATGATCCCAGGGTCTTGGGATCAAGTCCCCCATCAGGCTCTCTGCTCAGTGGGGAGGCTCCTTCTCCCTCTCCATCTGCCTCTTCCCCCTGCTCATGTTCCCTCTCGCTCTCAAATAAATAAATAAAATCTTAAAAAAAAAAAGAATTTGTAACTTTCAAATCGAGCGGTGTTCTAAAGCCCATCAGCAAAATGCTGTGGCCAAGAAAGAAAGAAGGCATAACTCTCTGAATCCTCAATTATTTGAGACACACGCCTTACTCTGAATTTAGGTACCCAAATGTGACTGAGGTGAGCAGTAATTTGGCAAATGAGGGTATCATTTGTCTCTCTCACTGGAGTACATCCTATTACAGGTGCTCACTTTATGTGTCCCAGCCCTTTTAAATGTTTTTGTTTTGTTTTGTTTTGAAGTAATCTCTACGCCCGACGTGGGGCTCAAACTCACCCCCCAAGAGTCGCATGCTCCACTGACTGAGCCAGCCAGGTGCCCCTCTGTCCCAACCCTTTTAAAAAGTAGTATGTAGATTCTTAGACTTACAGTCCTGGGGATGCCGTTTGGACCAATTTGTATTGAGATCTTATATTAATAAGTTGATTATTAGAGTTCATTTGTTACTAAGATAGTACCTGCCTAAATGTATTTAAGCTGCTTAACTTGTTCCCAATGAAACCACACTGACTATCCCAGTAAATATTGTTGTGTCTTGTTTAATTCAGAAATACATGATACAATCTTCTGAGAAGGTTGCATTATTTCAACTTGATTGATTCACAAGAACCCAGGTTTCTGAATTCTGTTTGTAGTTAAGTACTTCTTTGCCTTTGCTTCTAGTTCAACATCACCAGCCCCCTGGGAACTATACCAGGGGGATTGCCATTTTACCCCCAAGGAAAGCCAGGCTCAGAGAGTGCATTAGCTTGTGCAGGATCACTCAGTAAGAAGCAAGTCCAAGATTAAAACCTTCACTCCTTAAAGAGTAGTGTTTTTTCCATCAGCACAGAACCATGAAAGGCATGATCTGTGGACTCCAAGCATTCTTATTTTGAAGGTGAATACTCGAAATATAAGACCTAAACTGTGGACACTGTTTAAATCAGTAACTCAACCAGTAGCCACCTGCTTTAAATCTGGATTCCGCCAACCTTGGTCATATTTGCTTCTCAGCATCCCCAAGGCAGGTCCAAAGTTCTGTCTCCTATGCTTAAGGCAGAGACACTTCAAAGTATATTCTGCCAGACTACCATAGTAGTGAGGCCTGACAGATCAGATTTTCCTGATGAGTGGAAGCTTCTCACTTCCCCTCTACCTCAGCCTCTCTGAGTAATAAGTCTCTCTGAGTCACTCTAAAACCTAGCTTCTCTGCACTTCCTGAATATGGAAATGACAGTCCTGGCTTACCACACCAGGACCTGTTAGCAAGCTTGATTTTGTAAGAGAAATTGCTTGTAAGTTTTTTTGTCAGTGGGTACCATGATCACCTTTTATACATAAGGCACTAGTATGTTGGACAAAGAATTTTTTTAAAGATTCATTTATTTATTTATTTTGAAGAGAGAGAGAGCAGGGGAGAGGGAGAAGAGGGAGAGGGAGAAGGAGAGAATCTCAAGCGGTCTCCCTTCTGAGAGCAGAGCCTGACGCAGGGCTCGATCCCATGACCCTGAGATCATGACCTGAGCTGAAATCAAGAGTCCGATGCTTAACTGACTGAGCCACCCAAGTGCCCTGCAAAGAATTTTTGTTCATGTTTCTTTTTTTTTTTTAAGATTTTATTTATTTATTTGAGAGTGAGAGAGAGAGCCCAAGAGAGGGTAGAGTCAGAGGGAGAAGCAGACTCCCTGCTGAGCAGGGAGCCTGATGTGGGACTCGAACCCAGGACTCCGGGATCATGACCTGAGCTGAAGGCAGTCGCTTAACCAACTGAGCCACCCAGGCACCCTTTGTTCATGTTTCTTAAGGGAAGGAAGTAGAGTAGTCCTTTTATCGGAACAGATATAAGTACACAAAACACTGCATCCCGGAATCCACCCCAGGTCCAAATCCTTTTTGGGATCTTTTCTTGGAATGTGGTAGCTATAGTCCTATAGCCTCTTTGGGCATATTTCCTCCAAGGCTCTCTTTTTTTTTTTCCTTTAAAAGAAACCAAAGTATGAATACTGGAAAATAACAAAATTAATGGATCTATCAAACCAATTGTTTGTATCTGTGTATTTTTTTTTTTTTAATCCGCTTGCCACACCTTTCATCCACAGAATGCAAGGTGCCATGGAAAGAATCTCTGAGGAGAAAAACTAGGGGACTTGTGATAACTTCCAAGGAGCAAAGCCCTCACAGGTGAGGGTGGGCTTGTGATCATTCTGCTCTGGTTACCTTTGCAAGTGACCTGAGGACTCATCAAATCCAAAATCCGCAGCCATGGCTGAGAGACATGCCAGTGATCTCAGGAAGTTGATAAATGAGCCAAGTTGAGAACCTAGACGTCTTTTCCCTCCTTTCCACCTACCATTTACAGGCCTCAGCAGAGTCTTTTCATCAAGATGAAGAATCAGAGAGACATCTAACTTGTGGCCCACCTCAAAAGGTGATTTTAATTGTCATTTCCCATATGTTTTGTAGAGAGTTGAAATGATGAAAGATATTTCACATGGCAGTAACAATGGGCAGGTAACTTCGTGTTCTGACAAACCCCATTTCAAACCCAGTTTGACAGACTGTCACTTAGAACACATGGGGGTATCTTGTCCTATGTAGGCACCTCATAAATGTTTCTCAAAATAGTGTCCAAAAATGGGCTAGAGGTTTCTCTTAAGGTGTGGGTTGCTTGTTTTTTTCAGAAACCTTAGAGGTGCTGATCCTCAAACACTACATAACACTATTGAGTTGTCACATGTATCAGGCACCCTACCGAATGTCTTAGAACGGTGTTTCCCACATGTGGTTCCCTGCCCTGTGCATGAACACGACTGGGCAACTTCCCTGGCTCTACCCCAGACCTACTGAATCAGAAATGTGGGGGATGAACGCAGCAATCTGTGTTTTAACAACCTTCCGGGTGATTCTGATCATAATAAACTTTGAGAACCACTGCTTTATATGTATTCTCTCATTTAATTCTCAAAACCCAATCCTAGTATCAGTCTTGTATTACTAAGAATGAGACCGAGGCACGGGAGTGCTCAGTACGTGCTCACTAGCCTCAGGGACTAATGGCTAGCATGTTGGACAGTGTGGCTAGAGAATATTTCCATCATCACAGAAATGTCCATTGGACACTGCCGGGTGAAGACATTCAGCTTGCTGATTTTGCTTGTAGTAGCTCAAACACATACAGGTCAGATACTACTCAGCACTTGCTCTCTGCAGGGCACTTTGTGTGTTTATATGTGCTATCTCATTTCATATTTCTGTCAGGCTATAACATAGGAACGATTAGTGCTGCTCTTTCAAGTAAATAAAGATTCGGCCACTTGCATAAATTCACACATTGATTATTACTCACTAGTATCTCCGAGTTAGGAACCCACTGATACCCCTTAACTGGTGTGCCCAAGGGAATGGTCTGCCCCTTCTTGACCAGTCTAGGCTCTTCTCTCGGCACTTGTGAGCCTCTCCTGTGTGTCCCGTGACCTTAGCCCTCGCTTCTCCCTCCCTGCCTCCCTTCCTCCTACCTGTGCGTCTTGCTTCAATGCTCCTGCAGTTATCCCCAAAAGTTCTTCATTTGTGCACATGGCACAGTCTAGTTGGCTTTCTCCTGCAACCTTTACTTTCCTCTAGTTCATGCGGTCAAGGGCTGTGTGCCTGTGTCACTAGTGAAAGGGGGTGACTGTGCCATGTGGTGGTTCTTGGTCTCTTTGTCTTTAACATGACAACTCTGGGGATGCCTGGGTGGCTCAGTCGGTTAAGCATCTTCCTTGGGCTCAGGTCATGATCCCAGAGTCCTGGGATCGAGTCCCTCATCGGGCTCCCTGCTCAGTGGGGAGCCTGCTTCTCCCTCTGCCTGCAGCTCCCCCTGCTTGTGCTCTCTCTCTCTCTCTCTCTCTGACAAATAAATAAATAAAATCTTTTTAAAAAATGACAACTCTGTTCTCATTGACTCTGTATTCTCCCTGTGTGATCAACATTCCCTTTTCACTGTCAACCAGAGGGGGTCTTTTGAAATCTCTTTGGCTGGGAAGAGACTATTCCTCCCTGAAATTGAGCTGAAAACAGAATGCCCCTCACTCTCATGTCATTTTTCCAAGTACCTCAATTGGCCGAATGACCCAGAGGCTTTACTGTTAATCATTTTAAGTTCTCAGATGTTCATTTCCAGTAATTCTGTTCCATTGGCTAGGCAGGGATTCTGTTCTTTCTCTAGGAAGGAAACCAGTTCAGCGGGCTGGTGACTTACCCTCAGATACGTAATTCAGCATTGTGACAAATGTCTGTGTAGGGCCTCCTTTGTGGAAGGTACGGGGAAAGACGATATGCCAGGAGGTTAGAGGAGGACACAGAGGTACTAGCTGGCAAAGGCCGAATGAGCATGGCAACAAAAGATCATCCAAGATGTTTAGGGAAGGAATAAAATAGATACATGATGGGAGAAAGGGCTTTCCAGTAAGAAGCTAGGACACGGGGACATGAAAGCATTTAGGGAAGAGCCAATCCACACAGTATGTGGCAAAACGAGAATGGAAATACTAGTTGAAATTGTCAATATATGGTTGTTATTTTTTTTCCAAAAAAATAACTTCCTGGTAGTTCGGTGTGGATCAACCTGATCTATCCAATGAACAAGCATTTTGTCAAGCTCTTGTCTTACAGGTACCATCAAAACACCAAGAATTAGAAATGAGACACAGTCTCAAGAGATGTCTGTTGGAGATGCACATGGAAAGCCAGTGAGAGGTAGAATAGGAACTAGAAGCAAAGTCTTCTGGGTCTTGTACCTCTCTCAGATACATGCCATTGACTATGGCATTAGCTCTTGTTTATTTGAAATATGGCTTCTGAATGTCACACTCGCTTAGTGGCTCTGAAAGGAACAGAATATTTAGTATTTGAGATAGCCATGTTGGCTTTATGGAATGCAAATTCTTTTTTTTTTTATGCCCCCTCCCATCCCTACCCACACACACACATGGTAAACCAGGCTGACAGTCATCATTTCCTAAAGTTTCTGAAAAGCACATGATGTGACTTTAAATGACTCTATTTAGAATAAACTGATGTGATTTTACATAGTCACTGTCTTTTCATAGCCACCTTAATCCCTTTTTCATTTTTTATTATGTTATGTTAATCACCATACATTATATCATTAGTTTTTGATGTAGTGATCCATGATTCATTGTTTGCATATAACACCCAGTGCTCCACGCAGAACGTGCCCTCTTTAATACCCATCACCAGGCTAACCCATCTCCCCACCCACCCGCCTCTAGAACCCTCAGTTTGTTTTTCAGAGTCCATCGTCTCTCATGGTTCGTCTCCCCCTCCGATTTCCCCCCTTCATTCTTCCCCTCCTGTTATCTTCTTTTTTTTTTTTTTTAACATATAATGTATTATTTGTTTCAGAGGTACAGGTCTGTGATTCAACAGTCTTGCACATTTCACAGCGCTCACCAGCCACCCCATCCCTCCCACCCCCCACCACTCCAGCAACCTTCAGTTTGTTTCCTGAGATTAAAAATTCCTCATATCAGTGAGGTCATATGATACATGTCTTTCTCTGATTGACTTATTTCGCTCAGCATAATACCCTCCAGTTCCATCCACTTAATCCCTTTTTCAAATAAGATTTTCCAATACAGGCTTCCTGGAAAGGAAGCCACATCCCCTCTTTTATCTGTGAATGCAGGATGAAGAAGTACGTGTGCCTGGCATTTACCACCAGATTCACCCCATGCTAGCCTGTCCACAGAGAATCCCACTGGGAGCAACTGTCAGTTCAAATAAATAGATTATCCAGAGAGTTCCCTCAGTTTGTAGCAGCCTTCCCCCCCCCCAAAAAAAAGAACTCCTATAATAATTTTTTTAAAGATTTTATTTATTCATTTGAGAGAGAGAGTGAGCGAGAGAGCACAAGCCAGGGGTGGAGGGGCAGAGGGAGAAGCAGACTCCCCACTGAGCAGGGAGCCAGCTGTGGGGCTTGATCCCTGGACCCCAGGATCATGACCTGAGCCAAAGGCAGACACTTAACCGACTGAGCCACCCAGGCACCCCTCCTATAATAATTTTTTAAAAAACCAAACATTGTGTGTCTGGTTCAGACATGACCACAGGAACCAGACCTGGGGAGAGGTGTTCCCACCTAGAGCCAGAGAACCAGTGAGCAAGAAGGGTGTTATTCCTTAGCAGGATTCCAGAAGAAAGGTCTTACACTAGAAGGAGAGATGAGGCCTCATGGGAATTCAGAGCCAGAAAATTTTTTTATGATGGATTCTCCTCCTGGGAATTAGATAGTGGACTTCCTGAAGTTGCTGGTTCTTGCATTGTCCTTCCTGCATCAGCCACATCACTTCCATGCCATTCTCACGCCTTCTATAGCTTCATGTTCTTTTGAGGAAAGCACATTCTGATGCCCCTTTGATGTCCTGGCATGTAGACATGTCAAGGTCTGCAGAAGAGTTTTTGTCTCTTGATCCATCTAAATCCCCACCTCCCATCCCCCACCCCCAGAAAACAATACGTGCAAATAGACAAAGAACCCTTACTGTACTTGTGGTTCAGATTTTACATCACTTGCCATCAAGCTGCTGTGGCAGAGACTCCTCACCATGCCCCAGTATCTCGTCTCTCCTTCCTTTTTAGTGATGAAATCCTCTTCCTTAGTTTTAGCAAAGAACGTAGTGCCAGGGAGGGACCACATTTGCAAGCCTACCCTTCGGCAAGGGATGGTTCTGTGAATTTGTTCTAGCCAATGGGATATGGGCAAAAGTGGTATGTGATTTCCAAGACACATCCTTTTAAAGGAAGTTGCTTACACACACACACACACACACACACACACACACACACACACCCTTACTGGAACAGCCTGTTGGGCCCATTGATGGAAGCCACAAGAGAAAGATGGGGGCACTCAACCCCTCATCCTGGGTCCCCTGGACTCAGTAAGCAATGCTGTCTTTTTGCCCTGGATTGCCCTACTTAACTCGAGACTGTTCTGTGAAAAGTAAACTTTTATTATATTTAAGCCACTTTATCTTGAGATCTCTTTGTTATAGTACCTTAGCTATTATCCCAACCAATACACAAATCTTACTAGACTCTTTGTCTGATGCCTTCCTTCCAGTTGGGTTATTTCAGTTCAATCCAACCAACATTTTGTGAGAACCTTCTATGTGGTGAGGCAGTGTTTTTCAAATTATGGGTCCCAGACCAGGGGCATCATCCTCACCTGGGGACTTGTTAGATATGGAAATTCACAAACACTACCCCAGACTTAGTGAATGGGAAACTCTGGGGTAGGGCTCAGCAGTTGGGTTTAACAAGCCCTTCAGGTGATCTGGATGAGTGTTAATGCTTTAGAGCCACTGTACTGGGGGATAAAAAAAAGGAATAAAAACGGGCCTCTGTCAAGGAATTTACATTTGAGGGAAAGGGTGCAAATAGATAATCAGTCATAAAAACATAATTATTGCCTTGGCTGTCTATTTTCCTGTCTGCTTCTCTTTTTCCATCAGATTAACTCAAAAGAATTTAGTTTAGATTGTTTTTGTTTGCAAATGTGATTGTTTATAGACAGCCTAAAAATTTAGGTCATGTGGGTCTATGCAAATCATAAAAGGGGAAATAACTAAAGCTACATTTGTAATAGGATAAACAGATTTGATCATCAGTATTAGAATTGATGAGCATCTCCTGAAGCCAAGAAAGACAAATAAGCAGAGGGAGTTATTTTATACCGCGGGTAGTAAAAGTACAGTACTTATTACCCTATAAGGGATTATATGGCCTAGAAATAAAAACAGTTGAGCATGGATTAAAGTCATGGGTGAGAAAGTCATAAAATTACATTAAGCACAAGTTAGGCACATTCAAATTATTCTGAAAGTATCTGACATCAGTATCATAAAAGGTAAATATCGTCCTTGCTGTCACCACCCTTATCATCATAATCTTCAGTGTTCAGAATTCTAGGCTAGATGGGGCTAGACCAATGTGGTATCGGTGATGGGCTAGAAAGGAGAATGCCCGAGAATAAAGACTCCTGGACTTAATGTGTTTTGTATAAATCCTGTACAACCCTTCAGATTTAATGGGCGGTAAAGGTAGAGGAAATAAAGGAGACAATGGATGCAATTTGTAAAAGAATTTTTTATTTCAGATTAAAATCAGTTCGCCATTCTTCTTCTTAATAAGAGAAGAGACAATTCAGATCATTGAAATCTGTAGAAAATCTAAAAGCTACATAAAATATTATTACTAAACACAGCAAACTGCTCTTATGCCTTTGGCATCAGAGCTAAACACTTTAGATAGTGCTAACATATAAAGTAAGTGTTAGGGGCGCCTGGGTGGCTCAGTCAGTTAAGCGTCTGCCTTTGGCTCAGGTCATGATCCCAGGGTCCTGGGATAGAGCCCCACATCGAGCCCCACCTCAGGCTCCCTGATCATCTTGGAGTCTGCTTCTCCCTCTCCCTCTGCCTCTTGCTTGCTCGCTCTCTCTACCTCAAATAAATAAATACAATGTTTTTAAAAAAATTTAAAATAACTGTTAGTACATCCCCAAACTGCCAAACTTAGGAATGCTAGACTCTTTGTGATGATGAAGATGTAGCAGTTAGTGTTGCTTTAAAGCTCTGCGCATCTTTAGAAGAAAGGGTTTAATTTCCCCACCCTACTGTTAGGAACAAAGTCATTTGCTGCTAAAAATCACTTTAGCCCCGGCTTACA